TAAGAGTGAAACATTCAAGTTGCCTGTGGGGACTCATGATTAAAGTGAATCAGAAAATTCAACAAATAGAATTTACACCCTAGAACTGGAAATAATAGAACTATCCAGAGGAGACATGAAAATAAATTGTGTAAAAGTTTAAGTACGTAAAAGAAGAAAAATCACCACAGCCATCATACTTGAAGGAGAACGCCAAACTTGAACTGTGGGGCATAAGAGCTGTACTATTTGGAGATTGTGAGCAAATCCATTTGGCAAAGATGTAGATAAGTGTAAATAAGTGTTAGTAACTTGGAAATAGATCTGGTTAAATTAATCAGATATGCATCACAGATGTAAAGATATAAAGAAAATAAAATAACAGACTACAGAAAACGTACAAGAGAATTTTTAGAAAAGGAGGATAGGGAAAAATGAAGGCGAGAGCTCAGAATTTTCCTGGACTGAAAAGAGATATCAGTCTTCAGAATGCCTGAGTACACCATATCCTTGACGGGATAATCAGAAACAAATCTATACCGAGATGCATCGCTGTGAAACTTCAGAACTTGCACAATCAGAAGAGATCTTGAAAGCAATCAAAGATGAAATATCTATTACAATCAAAGGAATGAAAATTAGAATTACAGAAGATGTCTCACAGTCATAATGGAGATGAGAAGCCCAACTGAATGGTAACTTTACAGGGTGGGTGAAAAGTACTTGTCAACTAAAACCCTATACTTAGCCAAAACATAATTCAGGGGGGAGTCTAAATTTTAAAAAAATGTTCATAAAAATACTGTGACAATTCGTTAATTCATAGACTCCCACCAAAACCAAACAGAGCATGAACATTAATAAGAGGAAATTGAATCCCCTCCTCCCAGAATAAGGCTGGGATGGTTTGGAAATACTAAACTGTATGTTTATCAAGCATATAGGTGAATGCAAGCAAACTTGGACTGTAAAAAATGATTGATGCACAGATAGATGATAGATGATTCATATTACTAATTTCTTGGTCATTTTAGACAAAGCATTTCATAAGGCACAAACAAGACAACATAATGTGGTAAATTACAGAAAGAAGTTCAATGTGAATATGCTCTAAAGCCTCTCCTGGTTTGAGAGGGGATTAGACGTGTTTATGATCTATAGATGCTCAAGTGTGTATGTTTAAAGTTTATTAGTGAATGCCAACAGGAAAGAGATTTAATATCCAGACAAAGGAAAAGGAAAGGCAGGAGGAATAAAGACGATTGTATCAATCTAATAGTAGGATTAAACATTTGGACGTAAAAGATAGAGACCAACCAGAGTATAATGCTTTCCTCTGGGCAGGAAAGGGAGTAAAATTGAGGAGAATTACAAACTGGGCTTCAGCGCTTTCTAATATATCTGTTCTGGAAAAATAAATTAGTCCAAATTGTTAAGCAAAATGTTAACATGTTAAATCTGCGACTAGAGGAGATGTTTTAGTTGTCACAATCAGTTTATTTCTGTCTGTTTGAAATACTTAGTTATGATATTAGCAAGTTTAAAAATGTACATTGGTGCCAGATAAAGCTGCGTTCTCATCCCATTCCTCGTACATCCTATGTACCTTGGGCAAAATTATTCAATTTCTTTAGGTTTCACTTGCTTAATTTTTAACTGTGTTCAATATTATAATATTGCCTACATTTCAGGGCTGTTTTAACAGTGTGAAGTGTGTGGCACAGTATTTGTAGAAAATATATTGTAACTAGTGGAAATAAAACAGTTTATTTCATGCAGCGGAATGCAACCAAAGAGAGGAACGTTTTTAAAAGACGAAAGGCAGTATCATTAGTTTCCTATGCAAGCAAAATATTCAAATTACTGATATTGACCATGGGGTTTAACTCTAATGAGGTCACTGATGAAGTTTACGTGAGCAATTTGGGGAGATCCGTGAGAGCAGCCAACTGTGGGCGTGTGTGGAAGAGGGGAAACGACAGATATAAACCTTGTGGTGTATTGTTTGAAACAAGAAGGCAACAAAAAAAAAATCACCCACTTATTTATAGAAGCAGGAGAGAAAACAAGGAATTTTGAAAGTGGGAGGCTGCCAAAGTGAACTATTTAAAGTTTGGTTGCGGAGAAAAATAGGTCAGGGACTAGAGGCAGACAGAGGGGTGTGTGTGTGTAGTGGTAAGGATTTGGGCATGTTTACGGAGTGAGAGGAGAGGTCCAGTAGCAAGGGGGAAGGTGCAAATGTAGGAGCAAAGGTAAAGCACTGGTGGACCAAGGTCCTAGAAGAGATGGTAGGGGTGAGACTCAGGAGCACAGACGGAAGTGTGGAGAGAATCAGTTGTCTGAGGTGAGGAGAAAGCTGCACACGAGTGCTGGCGGTCCTAGTGTTTACGTGCGCGTGAAGGACAATGCGGGGCTTATGGCTCTGAGCTTCAGATTGGTCTGTGGAAGATACGAGGCCACGTCCTCCACTGGGGAAGAATGTGTGCTTTGGTTATCGTAGTTTGTGTGCCTTTCCCCGGCCAAGAAGAAAGACTCAGGCGTTGAAATTCTCTGGGAGGGATGCTGATGGGAAAATTGGATTCAGGCTCAAGTCTCCCTCTCAAAAGAAGGGTTTTGTGTACGCGAACAATCATTGTTTGAGACTTCAGATCACCACACTCATTTCAGAAAGTCATGAGACGTCCACAGAGGGGACCGATGGGCGAGAGTTCCTGGCTAAGCCTTTTGGGACATAAACTGCAGCCAAGACTCCACATTTCCATGTCCTCTACAAAACCAGCTTTCTCAAAACAGACTCATACAACAAGCTGCAGTCACAGCCGAATGCCATGTTTCTATTATTGTGATGACATAAAATCATTAAACCACTGCTAGTAGTAAAAGCAGTTGTGTCTGGCAATAGACCTGCTCTGTGCCCATTCAGAGGGAATTGCATTTTAAATGACCCCTGGAGAGCAACGACGGGAGAGGCGCGGGACCGAGGTTTGACTTCCACGGTAATTTATTACATGTCCTCCTTTGGTCTTGCTGCCGTACTCAAGCTCTTTGTTCTGAAAAGTGGGTCATACTGGCTGGAGTGCATGAGCACAAACTGTAATGAGGTTTCAAATTTTTGTTGGAGTCATATACTAATTTTTAAATAATATTTCCCAAATTTAAAGTCACAAAAAATAATTAAAAGGTCCCGATGTCAAGACTCAACTCCCGCGTCCCTAATCGCAGAAGGTTCTCATCTAGACTTCTTTTTACACCATATATATCACATAAGCAGAATTACAACTACCTACGCCATGTCAGGCACAATACCTCAGTGAATCCTCATACAACCCAATGAGGTAGAAATTATTACCAGGGACAAATGAGTACGCTGACATCTCAAGACTGAACTCAAGCTTTCCAATATCAATTGGGATTCAAATTCAGGTCTGAATTTTAAAAATTGAGGCTGAAAAGAGACACTGCATCAAATGTCACTTTTAAATTCTGAACCAATTGAAGAATGGACAAGGAAGCTTTGACTTCCTTAGATGTTAACTTTATTATTAGTAAAGCTGTATTGAGAAACATGGTACATAAGGTCAAAACAGACTTTCTATCATGCCCCGCAAACTGGCCCCTGGCCCCTGAGACCGGTTAATTGCATGTAGGAACAGAGCCCGCCTCTCACCTTGCAAGAGCAATTGGTACAGGTGCACTAATCTTATACAGTAAAGCCGCTCCTCTTCTTATGGGGAGGGAAATGGTCAGAGGTGTAGGATTGGATTCTGACCAACACCTCCAAGAGAGCCAGAGGTTTATCAGTAGAGGGAATAAATTATTCCCCTGGGACATGGCACAGACTTCCCATGGCAGCTTGTTCTGTTAATTTTATTTGTTTAATATGCTTAAGAATTATATGATCTTCTATGTAATAAGCTTCTTTAGAGTAGCAGGTGCATTGATCAAACCAGGACAAGACACCAGGAAGTTCACACACTAGGAATGATGACAGAACATCATATTGGAGACATTCACAATGGTAGAGGTCTGTGCTCTCCAATTTCCCATTGTATTCTGGGAGAAGCACATAGGAATCTAGCAAATCTAAGCATTGGACAGCAGAAGGCTTTTACGAAACTAATTAGCAAAGTGATAGTCCCTCCCTGGAATGATTAAGGGCTGAATCCATCAACTCCGTGTAAGGCGTAGTCTCAGCTCCTAGTCCTGTTCTGCCAAGTTTGACATCCCTGGTTAAGAGCACAAGACCTCCTCCTTGACGGAATCAGTGTGCTAACGTGTAAACCTTAGAGTCCCGGCTCTTTGACGTTCTTGAACATGCTTGAATCTGCTGCATCAGCATTTTACCAGAATTGATTGCTTAAGCATTTTGCTTTGACTTCCAGGTGATCTGCAGGAGGCCAGCTCCTACTTTGGGAGACTGGCATGTAGGGAATAAGTTTTGGACAAGCTGATTCCTACTTCGCAACGATGGCCTGGTTTTTGTTTTCTTGACACACCGTGGTGTTTAGTACTGTGTATTGCAATATGTGACTGTTGGATAAAGGAAATAATGCAGAGAAGAATGAATGAATGAATGAATGAATGATTATGTAGGAAAAAAAATGTCGTCACTTGGGCTGTCTTTCTCTCACACCCACCTCTCCATTCCTCGTCTATTGAGAAGTACAAACAGATGCCCAGACACTAATTAGAAATGGAAGCCTAACTCTGTTTTATGTTATAAATCTCTCTTCTATCTAGCTGAAATTCAAAATGACTTTATTGTCATATAATCCTTACCACATTAACAATGGAATCATAAACTATAAAATAACAGTTCTCTAAGTCTCTTAATGAAAACCCTCAAGTCTATCTTTTAGTTCCTTTTGAGACATGATTGTTAAAAATCTCCCTTATTTGTATTAAAAACTCCCTTGGAATTAAATCCTAAATTCTAATAATAGCTGGCATTTTTGAATGTTCACTATGTGCGGGTGCTGTGATAAACACTTGACATAGATTATCTCATTTAATCCTCACAGAAACCAAATGAAGTGTTTACTGTCATTATCCCTATTTGATGAAGAGGATACTGAGGCTCACAGAGAATTAGTAACTTGTCCAAGATCATCTAATGTTGAGTAATCAAGAGTGAATGACCTGAAAGCACACACAACCAGCCGGGACCAGCCTTTTATCGAGGCGAAAATTTGCAGAGACAGAGCAGCAGCAGGTGAGCAGTCTTCTCAATGCCAGCTGCACAGGGAACTGGTGAGCGAGACGTCATACTTCAGAGGGGTCCCAGTTATGCGCTGTGGGGGTCATAAGCTTCATGGTTGGGGAAACACCGGTAGCCCTTCCTCTAGGACGGTTTGGGGCTGATGTTCAAACTTTGTGGTTACTGTTCTGTGATGTAGCAGAATCATAGCTTCCAGCTCTGATTTTCAACCCCAGCGTTTATAACTGAGAGCTCATCGGCTCCTCCCTTGTTGTGATCAGAGCCCAGGACCCAAGCCTTGTGTTTAAATTATTGCCCTTCAGCTCTGTTCTATCTCATCAGTATTCTATCAGTATGTCTGCCTTAAGTACTCAGTTGTAGCCAGTGTCCATGTCTTCTGGGTTTTAATTTCGGAATGATGCTGCTCTTTGAGGGAAGGGAGATGACAACTGGTTTTCTGGGATCCTAGCCTCTGGGTATCCAGGTCAAGAAGATCAAGCCTTGCCTATCACTTAGCCATTAAGTGGTGGGACCTTTCTTCAAGTGCTGCAGCCTGACACCAGAGTCTTCCTGGTCTTTAATGATTTGCAATAAGAACTTGATACAATTATCTGTATGTGCATTTCAAGTAATATCAGAGTTTATAGTACTTACTTTTCCTGTCATATATATTTTTTCTTGTGTTCCTAGTTGGTCATTTTAAATACTCATGTGTTATTCATCTATTTCTGTCCTTTATAACTCCCCATTCTTGTTCTCTCTGCTCTGTTAGAGTGGGAGATTTAATTTGTCTGTGAACCATCTAAAGAGGATGTGTTGTTGAGCATGGCATTGATTGACGTGTATACCAGGGTGTTTGGGATCGGATGACAGGGAGATCTTAAGAGGTAGGGTTCCTTAGAAGAAATGAGAAATCCAAATTCAGAGTTTGTGATTTCTGTGCTAAGTATAGGTGTCTTTAGGAGATTTTAAACTAGAACTAGTGATATTAAGAACTTGTCTCTGTGTCAGTTAGATTTTGTGGTTACAGAGTTATTTGTTGTCTTCAAATCTATTTGTTTATATCACAATGTCTAATTTTACTCTTTCAAATTGCTCCTACTTCAACTTTATACATTCATAAACTTCATAAATATAGAATGCACTGAACTAAGAGGAAACACTAGTGTAGTAGTGATAACGTCTTTACCGCCAAATACAAGGTCAGAGGTGTGGTCTGTTTCATTGATTGCTATATGTACTCCGTGCATAGATACTAAAATAAAGCAAAGTTGTTGCTCAGTGAACATTTATTGTTTTAATAAGAAAAGTAATGAATGACTCTTTTTCTATGAAAATTAATTATTAAATTGTTTGACTTATCTTGGGATAGCAAGGTATTGTTTTAATTGTGTTTATTAATTAAATTAGAGGTGAAAGGAAGGCTTTTCCTTACCCAAAATTCTTTGTCTATGAATGTAATAAGAAGGGAAATGTGATTATCATTTCTTACTGTACCACATCCAAATTGTTTGGTTTTCAACAGGGAAGGGCCAATATATCCAAAATTGATTTTTTAAATCTTGCCATTGTTAAGTCCTTCCAGGTGTGTATAAGGATACATGTGTGTATGTGTGTATGGGGAGGGGGTTAATGATTTGAAAAGTATACTCATTTCTGGTAATCATCTATGGGTTTGGATATATAGCTCCCCTCTCAAAAAAAAAAGAAAAAATAATATTAAATATGAAGAAACCAGAAAAATTCCTGCTTGCACGGCCCTCCCTTGCAGACAGTTATTACATATTATTTAAGAGATGAGGCATTGTCTGCTAGTTGTATGTCCTTGAACAAGTTACTTCATCTTCCTGTGCCTTGTTGTCCCACTGACAGAAAGGGAATAGTAACAGTACTGAGCTCATAATTTTGTTGTGAAGAACCAGCGAATTAGTACATGTAAAGCATGTGGAACAGTGCTTGGTGCAAAGTAAGCACACAATAAACAGTAGCATGACTTTTACCTTCACATGTTGTTGCAGAAAACATCGCCTTACCCACAACAACCTATGTAAGTGAGGAATGGGTGACCTCTGATTTTGGCTCCAAAGTTTCATGATCCCTTAGACAGTCTTTAAGACTCCCTTGTTGTCTCTTAATGAAAATCTAGGTCAAATCAAACCAAAATGCAAATAGAGGGACCAGGCCTGTTATGTCTCAATGAAACTGTATTTCCTGGAGTCCCCCAGTCCTCCTTGATATGTCTTCAAACTCTGAGTGTGGCCTGGCTTCCTTTGTAGTGTTTTTTTTTAAACTGGACTAGCCTGAGACTGACCAGGGTGGTAGATGGGGGAATATTCCAGCTCTGCATGCAGTCCCAATTCAGCAGAGTTTGGGAGGAGCAGGATGAGGTGAACACCTGATTTTTCTCCCCTGTCAGCATTTCCAGTCTGATATTGTAGGCAGAATATTAAGCATGGCATGTGATGGTTCTGCTAGGCAACAGAACCATGGCAATGAACAGAAACTCCTTCAGGCCACGAAAAATGAAGCTTTTAAAAATGAAAAAAAAAATACGGCTGTACCTTTATATTGAAATACACATACCCAGCCAACTGGATTTCAAGAAGGTGTGTCGAGTTCTTGAGTAGCAGTGGAAGGCAGTCTTCTGATTTAGACTTCTGTAAACGTGCCCCACTGCCCTTCTCTCTCTCTCCCTGGCCCTTATCCACTTGACTTTCTTCCCAATGATCTGCTCTCTGACTTCTTTAGATAACTTGAAAATAGCGATGGTACAGAGGCCAGAGGTCAGAGCTCTTCATCACCACTGAGCTCCAAGTAGCAGCCTTCTTTCCTCATTCCCAGAGGAATCTCTGTAGTCTTCTTGGAAGTATTTCTGCTGTACAGTCATGTCCACGGAAAAGGATAATGCACAAAGCTTCTCATTAACTACATTTTAATGGGCTTTGTTAAAAAGTCAGCTTACCCCAGTCTCAAAGTGAAAGCAAAAACAAAATTTGATTTTACAAATGAAATACACACGTGAAAGTTAAGATGTTTTTAGTCAAAATAATATGATGAAGACAATGTAGACTCCATCATTGTGATTTAAAGTTTGTAGATCCCATGGCTTTTTTGAATAAAAAATGAAAGTCCTCTCTCCTTACAAAATAAACATACATACAAATAAAATGTATAAAAATTTTTGAAGATACTTCCAAGAGATGTATTTGAGGAACCCTATGCAGGTGTATCACATAGAAATTACAGATCTCACATTAAAACCCCTGCATTAACTCACGTTATTGCCAGACCCTTGCGATCGGTCCATGACAAGACCTTACTGTGCAGTGAGTGACTTACAGGTGTGCCAAGATCATAGTCCCTTTCTGTCTTCAAAGCAACAAGATGGAGTCAAGGGTAGCTAAAACCTCAGTTTTCCTCTATCGTTGTGAGCTAGCATGATAATTTCCCCCAATCAGCCATAGAACTCTTATTCTCTACATAATTTTTAGCATGAAATGGGTTGAACACAGTGCTAAAGAATTGTTCATTTATTCTTTCAGTGGATGTTTATTGAATTCATATTACCTATGAACCAGTGTGCTAGATGTGAGTGGGGTCATAAAGGTGACTAAAGTTTATTTTCTGACCTTGTGGAAGTCACTGCCTATGAGGGGAGACAGTAATGTTGAAGTATACCGCCATATGCCATATACAGACCTACGGGAACACAGAGGGGAGTCAGCCTAATTTTATTTGGAATGAAAACCAGAGTGAGGGCACATCCCATTGAACTTCGCTGGTTAAGTGAAGCTCACCAGAACGAGTATATGTTGTAGTATTGTTTTGGCGACAAATAATTTTGTTACAAAAATTTTAATGGTTGCATACTATGCCACAATGTGAATAGAACACAGATAACTTAATTGAGCACTTGTTTTTTGTTTTTTGTTTTTTGTTTTGTCATTAGGCTAGTTCCAATTTTTGGGCAACTGTGAATAGCACTGAGATAAAGATTTGTGTGGGGAAATTATGGTACAGGCCTGTAATTCTCTTCTCAGAATAAAGTCCTAGATGTGAAATTACTGGTGCAAAGGACCAGCCCATTTTTAAAACTTAAATACATTTTCTCAAACTAACATGAAAGAGTGGGTCTTTGAGGTCAGACCGACTTGAGTTCAAAATGAGTTCAAAACATTATTATTGACCTTGGCCAGTTGCCTGTGCTTCATTACTTAGTTTCTTCCTTCATGAGGATAATACTTACCTTAACTTGCTGCTTTAAAAACTGTAGTAGAGTTTAATAAATACTTACTGAATCATTCTTATTTTTTGACAATAGATCCCAGATCATTGCTAACCCCTAGCAATATAATGCAAATGTTCTAAATATTTGAGGCTGGTAACATTAGTTAATTTCTAACAGGAAATGTGCACTGTGTAAATAACTGTGTGGTATGGTTACACTCAATTCATTATATGGCCCACATTTCAAAAACCCTGACTCATTGTCCCTGTAATTAATTTTAAAACTGCTGGACTCCAATCTGAAATTTTCTCCTAAAAACAGGAAAATACCAGAATTGGATGAAGTGACAGTACCCTGGAATAAAATTCTTATTTCCTGTGTCATTTAATCTCTCAGACCCTCAAAATTATCATCTGAAAAAGGAGCCTAAGCTACACTTTCTTTCTGTGTCAACAAATCAAATGAGTACTATGAATAAAAAAGACAGATAGGTCTCTAAATTGTTATTCTGGTATAACCCATGATTCACATTGGTTTTTAAATCTACCGTGAATCTTTTTACTTTCTGCAAAAGAATGGGCATCATGCAAACTGAATATTTCTCTCATGCTTGTCAGTCTGTTACGAGTTTTTTTCATATTATATTGATGTGGGGCATGGGCTTGAAGGATCTGGATTTATTTTTGAACTCTTGTCAGCACTCCATAATTAACGTTGCCCAGAAGAGAAATGCTATTTTGCCTCCTGCATCATCAACACAACTGTCAGCAAATAAGGAAGGCATCGTCTTTACCATTATTACTGCTAATGTAAGAAGCAGAGAAG